TTGTATCAGTTTCAAATTTGCTTCAATCTGACATAACTGCAGATGTGCTTGATTTATATAACACTCGGCTCACTAATTTCGTTGAACAGTTTGAGACATTATATACAGTTGATGAAATGAACTACAACATTCATTTGCTAATGCATGTTGTGGAATGCTGTCAAAACTATGGACCGTTGTGGACTGTGTCGTTATTTGTTTTTGAAGATATCAATAGTTTATTGAAAAGTTATGTTAAGGGTCCAAAAGAGCCATTAATTCAGATTGCAAATCGATGTATATTATCACATGTTAGACATAACTCCGAGACATTTTCAGAACTAAGTTCAAACGTGCAAGATTTCTGCGAAAAAATTTCAATCAAAATCAAAAATTCTCCTCACAAACTCAACTTTGAATACATACTCCCGGAAAACGTAATTAATAACTATAGCAACAGCAAATTTTATGAACTTTCTTACTTGAAATTTAGTAATTATACATATAAACGCAGTTTCAGAGTCCAAACTAATAATGATGCAATAAATCGATCGAACAATGACTCATACTTTGCATATTTTTCTGATACAGGTTTAGGTCTAGGAGAAATTTGTAAAATATTAACGGATAACGAAAGTTATTACTTTTTAATCAGGAGCATAGAATATTTGAAAATTGATTCAGATTTTCTCGAAAAGCTATCGATTAATCAAACGTTAAATTTAATAAAAGTGGATGAGACAGTATCAAAGTATTAGTATTAGAATAGATTGTCATAAGTCGTTTTATTACACATGATGTGCCTATATAATTTGCATTGCGGAACTATTGACATCACTATGTCCAAGCAGCAAATCACAGAACAGAAGGGGAAGTGCAAACAAATCGGTGAATTAAAAGTGGTTCGTTTTTCTGCTTAACAAGCGATGTGTTGTGGTAGCGTTCCACACGGGCTTTCTATGTGCACTCACACTATCATAGCATGCTGCCTATCTTAACTGCAGGCAGAAGATGCCTTCTACCGCTAGGTGCGCTAGTGTTTGCAAATGACAAGTGGAGCCACTTTCTGTTCCGAAGTTCCACTCCTGCGAGCAAATACAAACTAAGCTAAAACAGAATAGAATTAATGCATAGTATGTAAGTAAACATTGTAATAATCATTGTATGTAGTCTACACTGGCTTGACGAAATGGAAATAACTTACATTCTGTGTAGATTGATGTGAAGCACAACATATCAATTAAATTTTTCTTTGTAGAATCAGATCCAATGTGACAAAATATATGACAATCCTAATGAACTTAAAGCAATGATAAATTTTACATTATGATCCGAAATCTATGCGAGTAATTTAATAAAATATAATCAAGATATGCTAAAACTGTAACACATTATTACGAAATTGAAACATGAAAATCATAAATATTGTCAACGTTTCTTCGTATTTTTTCGTATTGTTCTGTAACAGTTCAATATAGTTATCTGACTTTAATGAAATGCATGTGGAACATACCATAAATAGTAACAGCAGAATGTTATGTTTTAATAACGTTTATTAATTTCATGAACTATAATAAAACCATTTTATATAAGGTTAACGTAGTAAGGTGCAAGTAAAGTTTAAACTGTTCTGGAAATGGTTTTATTATATTATTAATTACGCGGGTAGCCATCAGTCGATTCTTTCCAGTTCCACGTTTTCCAATGTATGCTTTTATCTCGTGAAAATCCAAAACCCACAGATAGGGGAATTTACGTATTCTCGGCAACCTAAGCAGCGACCTTCTTTCTATAGCCTTTTTCTCTATGGAACGCACACATATGCAGTATTGGTTTGTTTACAATCTTTTGCTGCCAGCTGCTCTAACAATTTCAGTCGAAAGAATTGTCAAAAACTGTTTTGAAACGCTTTTACAAAGCTCCAATCTTCTCTAGTGAGAGCGAGTATTGTCGGCAACCAGTTTTTCTTCGGCAACCGTTCCATTTGAACTGCATGTAATTCTGCTGTTCTATTATCGGCAACTCGAAATCAGCTACAATTTGTAGTGCGTGTGTTTCATTTCAAGAAAACCCTGCTAGATTGCTTTTTCTCAGTGGTAAAAATATAGTCAAATTGAAGCTGAAAGCATAAAGCGAAGTGTTTTCGTAAGAAAATCCAGTGAAAATAGTGTTTCAATTTGGGTTGCCGAAAATAGTCTGTCATGCCGAAGCCGTCATTTCCCCTATATAATCCACAGATGGTTCTGAAGTACATTTTGTTTAAAAGCAAAAAAGATTCAACAACTTTTAGGTTAATAACTGTACTAAAAACATGACGATTGTTTTATGATAGACCCATTTTATAGTTGACAAAAGAAAAGGGAGAAGTTCAGAGGGTCTAGTATAAAAGAGGAGCAGATTCAAAACAAACTGCCTTGGCAACCTATGCCTTGGTTATTCAATCAAGATAGGCGCTGCTCGATTGGCTATGATTTTCTTTTTTGAACGCTAAGTTACAGAAGGCTTTTGTTACACCACATATAGAACAAACGTGGTTCATTCTGGAATATCTTGATGTCCCTTTTTTCTTAGAGCCGATTGGTATATGACACTTGACCCTTGACGGTCTTAGAACGAAAATGTATTTTTCAATTTATATTATAGCCATTCAGTTCACGAGAAAGGCAAAAAGTCAAGTAGTCCTATTACATAAGAAGCAATGGAGGACCGACTTGTCATGAGCGATAGCTCTACCCTTTTAATTAACAGAACATCAATCTTACCAAAACAATGAATAAGCCATCGAACGTGTGCAAAACAGTCAGTATGGTTGGAAAAGTACTTGTATCGTTTGTAGTAAAACTGTAATGATTTCCAAACGCGACCAACCGTTCGTCGCCACATTTCACTCGGCAGCAGCCCTAATGAGAAACACTGCACCGTAAAACCTCGAGTCGTGTTTGGTAAAAGAAAACGCACCACTGATTCACTCAACACAAAGACCGTTTGGTTTGTTTTTTCCGTCGATCTTGTTTTCCGTGCTGAGCACCAATGCTACCGACGTGCCAGGAAGGCAGCTCCCACACCTGGACCCTACCTATCGACCCATCAACTCATGAACCGGGGACCAACGGCTTTACTTCCCATCCGAAGGAAGGCGTGATCAGAGATGTTATGCCTCAGAACATCCCGGCGGCGCCGACTGGGATTGAACCCAGGCCTACTGGGGTGAGAGGTAATCACGCTTACCACTACACCACCGGCGCCGTTTACACAAAGACCGAGATTGGTGCGAAATGATACACAAAAGACAAAAGGTCCCTCAAACAACCGCGGTTAACTAAATTATTCATGCCAAAAAAATGCTTTAATTGTTGCATAATTGGAACTGAAGTTATCCAACTTTTGTTTTTCATGCTTCGTTCCAAGTTAAGGTCCAATTACCAGCCCCAAACTTTCCATCCGGCGCTGTTCTTTTCTTCACTGTCCACTCTGCACAGCATGTTACGACATCCCAGCAAGGACATTCGACATTCTTACAAAGCTGTCAGAGTTTATACCGGCAACAACGGCACGGTCCTCATGTGACCACACCTGCATGGGAAGAAGACGAAGACGCATTATCATCATCTGAGAGGAGAAAACAAAAGCGAAACCGCATTATGCAACCGAAGCATGTGCCATCGGTCCACACCCGGCTGGCTGTTGTTCGGAGTTGTCTCGTTTCGTTGGCTGTGGAAATGCGAAGAACTAGTTTCACAGCAGCAGAGGGCTCAGATGCTACTATCGCAGTACGGAGATGCCACCACCCGGTGCCTGCGTTCAAAATGTAGGTTGACGGAATTCATTGATTAATTCATCCGTGCCGCATTAGTGAGCGGTTTGTTTACAGATCTGCGGGGTTGTTGGATTAATTTACATTAATTAAATCAATTTCTAGTGGAGAAATCATGACCGATCTCGATATAGCCCCAAAAACCTGAAATTTACAGGTGGTCTCGGTTACTGGAGCATCTGCTTATGGCAACTCTATGTATCTTCACTATCCAAGTAGGCAGCTACATACACTTAGGGGACCTAGGAGCATTATGGACACACTAAGGATTTTACCAAGTTTGAAATAACTTTTTTTTTTTTCTTAAAAAACAGTTTGAAAATTTGTTACATTACATTGACATTGTAAAGCAAGCGGGGAAAAATAGACACCCCTTCGGGGCAGTAGTTTATGATTATTTTAATGTACCTACCGAAAATTATACAACGATATATGTGGGAACAACAAAAACAATTGAATATTCCACAATAAACAATAATTGCAGTCTAACTACCGTAATCTGCTCGCTACCCTTATTTGGTGATACGCGACAATTATATTTTTTCAGCATACAGCAATCCTGTGCGTTTTTTTTTTCAAGAATTTACCGTGATATGGAACATATTGAAATTAGTTCACTCGTTAAACTACTCATTCAGAAGAGGAATGAAATATCTGTTGAAAAAATGTTGTTATTTTGGAAATTATACGGGTTGTCCAATCTGTCCCGGTTGTTCATAATGCTCCTAGTTCCCCTATTTTAAATGTAAACCCTTGACGTTTCTTGAGAAGTAAATTTTCCAATTGCAGATTTCTCTTCCCACGTGCTTCCTCTTAACACATTTGTCATCTTGTATAGCTCCGTCATACCGAGTGTCAAACAAACAGACGTGAATCTGCAACCCGTATTTGCCGAAGGTTTGAAATTTGCATGAGCCACAATCTTAAACAAACTGTCTCCATGTCATATCTCAATTAACGCCAACCACGAACCATCATCCATTTGGAACGTGACTCACTTCCCGCTGAAAAATGGCGTGCAAATTTCCGTCGACCTCGTATTTGCCACAAGCAAATGTATATTGTCCAAGCATCGTCTTCCCATTCAAAAGAAACCCTTTTGTCCACGAAACGGTCGTTCACTGACACGACTAACTAACTAACTAACTAACTGAATTGAATTTGACTGACTGTAATGTTTGCTCGTTTATCTTCTCCTCTCTCGTAGCTCTGAAAGGCACCGCCGACGAGTTGGAAGCCGAGGGTTACTACTGCCACACCTATCTGGTGGACATCTCCGATCGGGAGCAGGTCTACGAGCTGGCCAAGAAGGTCAAGCAGGAGGTAGGCGACGTCGACATCCTCATTAACAATGCCGGAATCGTCGCCTGCCGGACGCTGTGGGACCTGTCGGACAAAGCCATCGAGAGCACCTATGCGGTTAATATTCTTTCGCACTACTGGGTATGTATGCAAATCAAGATGATGAGCTTGGGGATCTTATATTTACGAATGAAATTCTTTTAGACCACGAGGGCTTTCCTGCCGGAAATGATGAACGCCAACAGGGGACACATTGTCACCGTCGGATCCGTCGCTGGACTGCTCGGAACGTACGGCTGTACTGATTACAGTGCCACCAAATTTGCGTGCGTCGGATTCCACGAAGCGCTGTACACTGAACTGAAGGTGAGTAATAGAGCTGTCCCATTGCAAATTTGTATATTCATTCGAAAAAAACTACAAGGGACAGCCCTATGGAGTTGTACGCAATGATGACGTAGGACTACGTGGTCTTATATAATAAATCGCATTTGTTATCTGCAGCAGGAGCTTGTGTTATGTGTACTAATAAGAATTTGAGCGGGGTTCTCTCTGTTTATAAGCTTTAGTATGACGCGGTTGACATAGATGGCCCACAGCAACTCACGAAGAGCTACTGATTCCGATCAATAGCGGTGCAGCTTCTTCCTCTTTCTATGGATGCTCATTAGACTGATGCAAAATTTGAAATTTCCGCTCCACAGTGCTCAAACGGTTCCAAATAGGGCCCTGATTAGCCTTCCAAAATTTGAACTCATTTAGTGAGAAACTGCATTGGCACAAACCATTTGAAGTTTCTATGGGAATTACTACGGAGAAACCATAATTTCGGTTCATATCTATCTCGAAATTCACCAGTTCACTGTACTTTAGACAATGATAGCTAAGCTTGTTGACAATTTTCTCAGCTATAACTTTGTTCGTGACCACTTTTCGATCAAATGTAAGGAACAACAATTATTAATGATTAAAGTCACTGATGTCTTATGATTATGCTCAATCAACTGTTCAGCAGGCAACATTGGTATTTATAGCGCGCAGAATAGAGTACAGAATACAGTGTTGCCCACAATACAGTTGCTTAATTTTACCATAAGATTATCAATATCTTAAACAATTAATAACTATTTAATATGACGTTTGACTGGAAAACAATGTTCTGGAAAGTTGTAGCTGATAAAAAATCCCATAAGAATAGCAATATAATTTGTTAACAGTACAATATGTAAAAAGGCTAGAAGACAATGAACAAAAAGTTTTGTTTTTCCATAGTAATTTCCATATAAACTTCAAATGGTTTGTGCCAAGTCAGTTTCTTATCAAATGAGTTTAAACTTTCGGAGGCTAATCAGGACCCAATTTGAAACTATTTGAACACTGTGGAGCGAAAATTTCAAATTTTGCATCAGTCTAATGCTCATGTGTGCTGCAGCTCGCTGCTTGCAGGCCGAGTTGCAGGAAGCCTTTCGTTGTGCACTGGAAAACACCACCACTCACCACGCGGTGATTGAATTAACACAGTTTGGTGAGACCGGATGAAATTTAACTTTGAAATCTGTGTTAAGGAATTCGCTTTTCGCAGGCAATCGGTGATAATTTTAACTATCAAAAGCAGTTGCCATTCGTGCAATTTTCAATAGTGACATATTGAAAAATGATAAAGTCTTAAATTTTACAGATGCGTAGAAATATATCTGATCAATTAATGCTAAAATTATTGAAATTGGTCCACGGGCAGCTAAGTTATTAACGTCCAAAATCTTTCATAATTTTGTTACATGTTCCAATTTCAGTTTTCACAAAGTGTACCCCCATATAGAAATCACAGACGTAGTCCTACGTCAAAAAACTATTCAGCAATTCTTTCCATTTAAATTTATATTCCTCTAATCGTAAATCTTTTTTTTATCATCAAAATAAACAATAATCAAAGGCTAGATTCTCTAGCGTAGATGCCGGCTTCAGTAATACCTTAACCTATTATTGTCAGGGGGTAAAGCGCTCATTTTTGTTCATGAAGATTCTTCTATTTACAGTACTTGTTCGCTAACTGCGCTTCATTCTTTAACTGGAATGCTTTTTAACTGGGCGTTCAGTTAAATATACGTCAAAAATACGTTTATACGTCACATCAAGGGGCAAGACAGCTCCTAATCATGAGCAATTTCAGAGTTGCTTTTGAGGCACCTCGAGTACACATTGCTCCGTGAGCAAGATCACTATCATTGGTTTTTTTTCACTTTTCGCATCACAGCAACATTTGGAGGTGCGAAGTCGAAAAACTGCTGTTAAGCAAAACAACAACAACAGCAAAGAAACATCCGGCTTGATGTGTTAAAGTCTGTAACGTACAAAAATTGGTCAACAACAATCTATAAAACCACATGATGTAAGAATTTGTTCAAGTTTGAGGGGAATATGGGGTATTGCAAGAGTCACCATAAAATGGGGCTCGCATCATTCGATTCCTTGGATAATTCTACGATAGTTTAGTGCATATAGGTTTATACATTATAGTACCAATTTAAATTTCCACTTGATTTATATAGGTTTTTTTATTTGAGGGGAGATCGGGCAAAATAGACCCTTTCCTGAAGTCTGACCAAGAAGGTACCATCATCATTCAATTCGCCGGACATTTTGACATAGGAACAGTACAAGTGCGTGTAATATTAATGACGCTAATCTATAAAACCACATGATATATGAGTTTGTTCAAGTTTGAGGGGAATATAGGGTGAAATGGGGTTTTACAGTGGTCACCCCATGGCGAACTTCACAGCATTGGATTCCTTGGATAATTGTACAATCATTAAGTGCATAAAGTTCAATATTACGTCCGTCAAATTCTACTTTCCGAGTGTTTAATCTTGTTTTTAAAGGCCAAGGGGAAATCGGGTAAAATTGACCACTTTTTGACGTCTGATCAAAGTAAAACTAGCTCTTTTTATAACGATAAAGTTCATGTTGGCTCAATCTAAGCGCACCAAGTTCAGTTTCTGGATGGTACTTATATTTTTCTTCCACTTCCTGAAGTCAACCCTAAGCGGGACCATCACCAATCGATTTTCCGATTTTTTTTTTTTTTTTCATAAGATAGGCTATTTTGCAGGACTCCTACCGTGCGCCGTCTAATTAAGTGGGATTTTGGGTCGATTTTTCCCCACTGTGCAATGTGGTGGACACTTTCCCAGCATCATTTGAGCAATATAACTAATATACTATAGAGGAAGAATAGCACTGGTGTTCCCTTTGTTCCGATGTTGAATAATACCGAACTGTCAAACTGCATAGTTTTTTTTCTCGTTTTGGCAGTTGTGTTCCTATTAGATGTAAGGAAAAGATGTTTCGACAGCGACGGCAGTGCTATGCTTCCTCTATTGTTTATTAGCTCTATTATTTGAGCCGTTTTCTGAACGAATTCTGGAATTCACATCGTTTCAATCAAGGTAACTACATACACTTAAAATATTTTTTCGTTAATTCTCTTACGCTTATTTCGTAAACATGTGATTCGTAGATAAAACAATTGTTTCGTTAATTGTACGAAACATCCGTATTGTATGCCGTTCGGTGCATCGCCAATATAACGCATAATTCGTACAATAAATTAAATGTGTTTCGTATTGACATGAAAGCTACATACATATACAATACGAAAATCTTTCGTCTATACGTGCTATTGTCGCTGTTATTCGTGAACTCTATGAAATTATTCGTTTGAAGTTTGAATTATAATTCGTTGCCTGTCATTAAATTCCAAACAACTGGATTTCGATTTGTTATTTGTTTTCGTGAAAGTGTTCGGTCGCAGTAGTTTCCGTTGCAGCACAATTTATGGCGATATTTTATCAGTCAAACTATAGTAACTTATTTGCAGTAATTTATGATTCTAACGATGTCTAAAAGTTATACTCCTTCAAGGTTCCTTGCCGTGGCTTAAAATAACCCAGATTCTAGATTGCCATTAATCTGTGAAACCGAAGCACATCATGAACAGTCACAGGCAGGATTTTCTATTCTGATGGCAGGCAATGAACAGGGAAACCAGAATTCGGAAGTGAATCACTGACGAACTGAGCATACAATTTGTACCATGTTTTTCGAGACTGAGTGATCTGTGCGAAGAGTCAATCCCGGATTACATTCAGAAGTAGAAACACCAAAGCCCCCGTCATACAGCTGCCCCGCGGTACAAGTCAACAAGTGGAGAGATCTTCAGCCCGGTCCGATTTAGCATCGGAGCTGACATCACCAGGCACCCAACCCGTTTATGTTTTGTAAAACCCTGTAATATTAAAAGCATAATGACGTATTATTAAAGCATAACTACAAAAATTGTACAAATTGTATTCGTTTATGGTATGGAATAAAAGAATATGGCTGTACGAAATGCTTTCGTACTTTCAACGATATCCAAAACAACAATTTTATTTGTTTACGAAATGTTCGTGTCATTGTACTGATTTTTATACATTGAATGAATGATGCTTTATGGATATACGAATGATTCGTACTTTTTTCAATGCTTGGATTTTCTTAAACGAATAATTCGTATATATATTTTAGAAACGCTTCGTAAACTAAAAAAATGTTAGGATGCAATTGATTTTAGGAATCGAAACGAAAACCGCTTCGTATAAAGTACGAAACAATTTCGTTGCAGAAAACAGCGAATGGATTCGTAGTACAAACGAGCGATTTCATTGTATAAACGAAATTTTATTTTCAGTGTAGAGGTGTCCAAATGTGTCAAATTCATGATTCTGCCATGTTGGATTTTTGTATGGGACAGTGACCGAATTTCTTTACTATTTGCTCTAAAATCGCACTTTTCCTCCCCAGGATGTTCTCACCCATACAGTGACAAAGCTTTGTATATACCCATGGTTTCAATAGCCGATCTGAACAATTCTCATGCAACACGAGAAAAGGGCCTATCATTGTTGATCGATTTTCTCTTTCGCGAATAACCCGACTGCAAATGAATTTCCCATTAAGTGTGTTGTTTCAGGCGCAAGCTAACATCATCTTCTGTCAAACTGTGCTACGAGCTTAGGCAGAAATTTGTTTATGTTTAAATATAAAGAGAGAGAGAAGGATTAGTAATTTCCATTTAATTCTACTACCTTATTTGCTTATCCTTGACAGATACGCGTATTTCGTCTACAATGTGCAGACTTCTGCAATGTCTTGTACTAATATTCGACTGTACTCGACGGCAAAACTTGTTCAAATCCTCGGTTCGTTTTCCTGAAGGAGTACAACTCATCGATGATATCAACCATCACATTCGAATGCTTGACATGCAGTGGGCTGTTCCAAGGTAAAACGGAAGACCCATTACAAGAACAGCAAATTCGACG